CCTAGGCCTGGAGAGCGTGGACCACTACCCCATCCTGGTGGCAGTGACGGGCATCCTGGTGCGGCTCCTGGTGCACGGCCCCGCCTCAGGGTGAGTAGGGGTCGGGGGCCCCTTGGGGCTGTGAAGGGTCTCCTTGCAGTTCTGTGTCCTCGGCTCCAAGAGGGGCCTCAGGGTCAGGTTTGGGGGTAGAAAGGCGGCGGCAGCAGCTGAGCAGAAGCAGGGACCCCGCCCGTGGTGTAGCCGGTGTTGAAAGCCTCGGGCGCCGGGTGCGGGTAGTGCACGCTCACGTTGAACTCGTGCGTCTGGTTGTGCTGCAGTCGGGGCCCGGTGGCCAGGCACACGAAGATGGGACAGAGCCTCGGGCCGAGCCGGGAACCCCAACTGGCGGCGGGGGCCCTATGATGGGGGACAGCACTGCCGGACGAGACTGAGCACACGCTGCCGTGTCTGGAGGCTCCGCGTGGGCGCCCTGCCTTTATTAAGAAACTCCCGACAATCCGACTCAGGCCCTCGAGGGGCCCCGCTCCGCCCCGCACAGGGGTTCCCGCCTGCCCTGCCTCCCTGCAGGGGGAGGGCGAGGTCCACAGGAAGCCGGCACCGCCTCAGCCATTAGCCGGAAGCCAGCGCCTGCCCTTCCGAAGCTCTGCCTCCAGGGACAGCGAGTCCGGCCCCACCTTCTGCTTGGCCATCGCTCAGCAGGCTTTTCACTGCTGAAGGCGGGGCGAGGCCTCCGGTGCCCTCACTGCTGCTGAGCCCACGGGAGAGGCTCCGCCCTCTGTGGCCTGTGATGCTCTGGCCACAGGAGCAGGGCCACTCGGTGGGGCCAGGCCAGGCCCAGGGGTCTCTTGAGGAGCCTTGCCTGCCTCTCGCCTGCCCACCAGACTGGGCCTGGACTTGGGAAGCTGGGAGGAGGTTGGCTGTTGGTGTGCAGGGGGAGGGTTTGTTTCCTCTTCCACCTGGGGATGGGGCCAGGTCTCCCCTTCCCCTGACCCACTCCCTCCCCCTCAGCGGCCCCTGCTCTGAAGCCAGGGCTCTCCAGGTGGACCTCCGTTCCCACGCTCCTGTCCCCAGGAAAGGGGCACGGCAGGCCCTGTGCAGAGACAACCCAGTGAGAGGGGCTGCTGTCCGAGGGAGGGCCTAGCAGGCGGCTCTCACCGGCGCCTGGTAGTTCTCTGCGCAGCTGGGAGCAGGGCAAGCGGCCGGCAGGTGTGGCCTGGGGGGGCCCTGGGCAGCTAGCTCATCACCAGCCCCTCAGAGCCCGTGGAGCTCGTGGACTCAGAGCCAACCTTGAACCGCAGACCCACGGGGTTGTAGAGATCAAAGTCCTCGGCCACCGCCAGCTGCACTCGGCCGTTGAGGCCCCTCCTGCCCGGCTCCAAGAACACCACGTGCTTGTGGACGCTGGCCTTGCGGCTGGGGGCGTCGGGCGGCGTGGCGCTGAGC